CAAAAGGAGAAATGAGAACCTAATTTCTGCTTAAAATTGTCAACCTGGCATTATTGAGTACTGAAACACATAGATAACACCATTTTTTTTAACATGACTTTTTTATCATGATAACATTAGTTTTCTATAAACAAAGTAATGAGATAGACGTTTGATAAAGTTGATACATTAACATGTTCTCTTTGATATTGTTATTGAAAAGCCAATCTTAAGGACATTTATAGATGTTTTATATTATTATTAATAATAATAATTCAAATCTTGGGTAGCCAAAAACATTTCAGATTTATTGTACAACTTTGGGTTTGCATCTCTATAAATAGACAAAATAAAATCGCTTTTGAATCTTTTATTAAGTTCAAATCTACACCTAAAGAAGTGAAAAAACACGGGCTAGACTGTGAGGGTGCGTTTGTTGCACCGGATTGTCTCGGACTGGACTAGCTTTAGGAACTAAGCTGGATTGGCTTAGACTAGACTAAACTGGACTGGCTTAATGAAGCGTTTGGTGTAGCGTTGGACTAAGAAGCTAGACTAACAATAAATTATTATTATTATAATATTTTAATTTATTTTTTATTAAAAATATCAAAATGAATATATGAAAAAATAAAAGAGCATAGCCCTCTTCTTCTTCACAAATTGCAGGTGCTTTTGCAACTTGGAGAATTATCAAACTTTCATCGACTCAAATTGATAGTAAATAGAACCAAATTTGCAGTTTAGAAGATGAACGAGCCTTGTATAAGATTTCTTGAACATTGGTTTCACCCTCACCCTCACCGACAGTTCCACTCAATTCGTTGGATTTTTGTAAGATTACCATAAGCCTTAATGTAAAAGGTATTGATTAACTGGAAAAGATCATATACCAGCAGAAATTAATGAGTTAATAACAAAACATATCACAATTTACATAGAACAACTTTGTATTTCAATTCATAAAAGGAAAAATAGCAGATAAATTGAAAACAAATGGGTAGCAATCAAAACCCAGAAACCAATCAAATATGAGAAATCAATTAAACAAATCGATCAAAAACAAAAATCTATCAAAACCCATTAATAATTTGACGAATCTTCAAAACAAAACTGAAGAAAACTAAGAAGAGAAAGTGGCAGAGGAAGTTGTGATTTACGAGGACGCGACGGTGGTCCTGGGATGGTCCAGCGAGGTTGTCAAGCAGGATGAGGAGTCGAGCAGAGTGAGGAGCCGAGTGGGACAACGCAAGAGAAAAGAAGTGTCTTAGCAATCCGGTGGTGGTTGGGGGGGGGGGGTCTTGCTAAGACTATCTAGCGAGCCCCATAGTCGAGGCGAGTGAGGTTTAATCCCACTAAAGTTAGTCCCTTCCTCTAACAAACATGGGACTACAGTAACACCTAATCTAGTCTCCAGTCCCACTTAATGAAGGCAAACAAACGTTCCTTAAGAGCTCAACAACATGTCTCATACTTGAATTTATACAAAAATTTAAGAAAAATTAATAAAGTAGTCCAACTTTATTAATTTTTCTCAGTTCAGGTCTAGATGACAAAAATATTGTAAATTAAGGTACAAACATAATTATTTCCATGAATTTGAGCAGTAATAGAAAGTATATACTACTACAGGCACTTGCAAGGATTAGAAAGGTCCACTCGCATGGCCTTCAACATTCATTCTTTTTGTTGCCACAGTAGAGGCATTTCTTGAAGAAACATGGGTACGTAGTATCAAATCTTGGAGTTGCGACAGGAGAGACTGCACCCCGTCTTCGTGTGTGACATACGTTTACATGCCTCAACGCACATGCTTGACGTCCATGTTGGATATTATATGCGTCACCGGTTGTGTCTTGGCCCGTTCGTTAGTGCGGAAATGAGATTCAGACTACAACCTCACCAAAATACAAACCCACGGTTGAATAATTTAAAATACAAGAAATAAAGACACCGAGAGAATTACGAGGTTCGGAAAAAACCTGTCTATGTCCCCAGATAGATATTGCTCTTTACTATGAGAATAACAGTACAAGTTACACATGAGTTAAATCGACATAATCCAATTCTAATCCCAAACCCGTGTACACCTACTCGCATAATTTTTCCAAGAGCCTCAGTTCTTTCACTAGAATACTTTTCACTCTAGCTCCCTTGATTTTCTCTCAACCCATGGTCAACCTTTCCAAAGGGAGAGTCGGATACTCTCCCCCATGGATGCTTCTATGATGCTTAACTTCCCACTTTCAAAGACCAAAAAGTCTGAAGTTCATGTAACATAATCAACACCTAGCCTACCTAGCATGCACCCCTTTCTATCCCTAGCCTACAGAGTACAACTTTTTCTCCATTTGCCATTTAATGCATAGAAAATAAAACATGCACAATTTCATGCAAGCAAACACAAAGTCACGGTTGCTGCAATTTCCTTGTAGCATTCACATGGTCTCAATTGTGGTCATATTGAAGACTAATAATATTCAAAAATTCCAAGCGTCAACTCCACGTTTGACGGGAAGACTTGACGGGGTCAGTCAACACTGGCACCATACAGCTCTTTGATTGAGCTGAAAATCCTTTCAGAAATTCCAAGCGTAAAGAAAGGAATAGAAAATCTGCACCTCCAAAGTTGTTACTAGCTCCACACACCTTTATTCCCAGCCCATCAAATTTCCTCAAGCATTAATATACTTTTTTGCCATGATTTTCGAATAATTTAGACAAAACATTTTTCAAACATGGATTGTACACATGTTTAATGACTTTGAAACAAAAAATGACCACATTTTAATTAGCAAAATATATTTCAAGTAAAAATAGGATAGAATTGGCCAGTATCCTGAGCATCATCAAGAAAGGTTAGGACAGAACAATACAAAACGAAACATGAATTACCAAGAATTCCACCAACTCACATAAAAGTGTTAATAAAAGTCAACTTTCAATGGTGTATCTGAAACTAAAACTAATCATGTTTTCACTTTGCACCACTCAATTCAACATAATTAATTAATATACTTCCAGACATTACAGGACTAGTGACCCAGCACCGAGCCCTACACCGGACCATGAAAATTAAATTCAAACGACCATATTTTAGTTTATTCAGAGTCTCGTATCCTGTGTAGCACCCAAACATAACATTGCATTAATGTTATCCAACATGATCCAAAGCAATCTAACCCTCCCTCCTAATCCAATCCGAGTTACCAAACATGGCCTGAGGAAAAAATTTAAGAGGATTTCAGACGCTAGACACACTAACCCATGCACACACGCGTAACTCGCGCATGAAACCAATTACCAAAAAAGTTAATATTCCCCACAATTTATCACATTAAATTCCCTTGCATACCAAAAGCAATGGAAGTTATCGAATCAGCACACGAAAATTAGTGAAAAATAAAGGTTAGAGAAGGAGAAGAAAAACATAATACTCTAATTATGACAAGCACATAATGAAGGGGTATTCTTACCATGGAAACAACCAGAAGGCCAATAAACGTATCAAAAGAGAAATGCATTAAGTAAAAGTGTAAAACCACAGAATACAATTTTGGATGCTAAGAGAAAATACAAACCAGTTCATGTTTTCAGACTCAGCACTGTTGTTTAAAATCCATTTCTCCACAGTGCTACAGTCGTCAGGACGATGAGCTTCCTCTGTACACTGCACAGCCAGAACAAAATTTGACTCACCTATATAGATAAGTTTTCGCTGAGATATTAAATACCAAAAGTTACAAAAGGAAACTTACATTCCAGCTAAATCCATAGGAGCAGAGGCAAGATACATCATAATTTTCATTGTCACCAACAAAATTAACAGCATATTCACAACCCGGATAAGGACACCACTTGGTCTAGCAGCAAAGAAAAAGAATTACAAATCATGGTGAGAAAAATGGAAAAATATGAAGTAAGAAAAATGATACTCATAAATTCCACTATACCACACAAGAGTAATAGAGAGGAACACATCATTGTTCCATCAAAAAGAAAATAAACCACTAATAAAAAAATGATACTCATATATTCACACTCACACGCCCACACAGGCACAGGAGTAATTGAAAAGAAAAGAAACCACCAATCATTTTTCAATATAGTAATTAAAATTGGGGATACTTTGGATGCGGTCCCTAATTCTTAACACTCTTTGATTAAAACCTTAATGGTATTCAAAGTTTGGTCAAAGTTCCTTGAATTTGAACACCTCATTATATTACTATTGATATTTATATTTTTATAGTTTTGACATTAATTGTTTGATATTTTATGACATTTATAATCCTATAAATTTAAAATCCCTTATTATGATACTATTAAAAACGGCTACAATAAAAAAATTCAAACATTTTGATTGAATAAATGGATAAAATCTATGTAACAATAAGAAATAATAGTGTTAAAAAAAATTGGTACATTTCTCATAGAACAAAGTGTTAAAAAAAAAACAGATGGCAAAAGAATGTAGCCATAGTGTTAAAAAAACTGGTACATTTCACATATAACAAAGTGGTAAATTAGCAAAGAAGAACGGGTACATTATAAATAAATTAGGGTACAAATAAAAGATTAAAAAATTATGAGTACAAATGAAATTTAAAAAAATATGGGCACAAAAAGAAATTAATACATGGGTACAAATTAAAACTAAATATAAAATACTACAAATTTAAAAAAAGATTACAAATTAAAAGTAGGTACAAACTAAAAATATAAATATATGATACAAAGTTTAGCCATAAATATAAATATACCATATGTAATTTTTCTGTTATAGAGTACAACTTTTTCTTCATTTGCCATTTAATGCATAGAAAATAAAACATGCACAATTGCATGCAAGCAAACACAAAGTCACGGTTGCTGCAATTTCCTTGTAGCATTCACATGGTCTTCAATTGTGGTCATATTGAAGACTAATACTATTCAAACATTCCAAGCGTCAACTCCACGCTTGACGGGAAGACTTAACCGACCGGGTCAGTCAACACTGGCACCATACGGCTCTTGATTGAGCTGAAAATTCTTTCAGAAATTCCAAGCGTAAAGAAAGGATTAGAAACTCTGCACCTCCAAAGTTGTTACTAGCTCCCATATTTATTTGTGACGCATACAGACTGGCGAAAAAACATATCATACTGCAACTCAAAACCATGACATTTCTTTATATGCTCCTGCTGCTGTCCGCATTGCCACTGATCAAAACGACATCAATATCGCCAAGAAAACAAGCAGAATCGCTCGTCAAATGGAAGGACGACTGGTCTTCATCATCATCGCCACCTTCGCTACTCAATTCATGGTCCCTCACCAACCTCAACAGCCTCTGCAACTGGACTGCCATTTCCTGCTCCAAAACCAGAACAGTCTCCAAAATAGACCTCTCCAATATGCAAATTAAAGGAACACTGTCCCTTTTCGACTTTTCCTCATTTCCAAATCTCACCCACTTCAATCTAAGTGGCAACTATTTCGATGGGCCTATACCATCTCAGATTGACCAGGTAACAGAGCTTCAATATCTAAATCTCCGCAACAACAGTCTCTATAGTACCATCCCTTATCAACTGAGCAATCTCCAAAAGGTACGGTACATGGACCTTGGATTAAACTATTTTATCTATGCTGATCAAGATTGGTCAAAATTTGCAGGCATGCCCTCATTGACCTACCTTGCTATGTCTATGCAACGTTATAGTCTATATCATTCAGAATTCCCAGAATTTATATCTCAATGCCGGAACTTGACGTTCCTTGACTTGTCCCAAATTAATTTGAATGGCCAAATTCCACCTTCGATAGGCCAACTCAGGGAGCTCCAGTACCTTGATCTTTCATACAACTCCTTAAACTCTTCTATCCCTTCTGAGCTCGGTCTTTGTACAAACCTCACCCACTTGTTCCTGGCTTCCAATCAACTCAACGGGGAACTGCCTATGTCCTTGTCCAATCTGAACAACCTCGTCGAATTAAGTTTAGCTACTAACGGATTCTTTGGCACGATTCCGGACAATATAGGTTTGATTTCTGGTCTTCAAAGTATTGACCTGAGAAGGAATAATCTGGAAGGGAAAATTCCATCCTCTGTAGGCCAAATCAGGGAGCTCCAGTACCTTGATCTTTCATACAACTCCTTAAACTCATCAATCCCTCTCTCTATAGGCCAACTCAGGAAGCTCCAGTACCTTGATCTTTCATACAACTCCTTAAACTCTTCTATCCCTTCTGAGCTCGGTCTTTGTACAAACCTCACCCACTTGTTCCTGGCTTTCAATGAACTCAACGGGGAACTGCCTCTGTCCTTGTCCAATCTGAGCCACCTCGTTGAATTGGGTTTAGATAATAATCTATTTACTGGTCAAATCCTTCCTTCTCTGGTCTCCAATTGGATTAATATGGAATCTTTGCAACTTCAGTCCAATGAACTCAGTGGGAAGATTCCGACGGAAGTTGGAAATATGTACTTTCTGTTGACGCTCAATCTAAGAAAGAACCACTTGACAGGAGTGATCCCTCAGAATCTAGGCAATTTAGCTCTGCTTAAGCTGCTCGATTTGTCACACAATCATTTTTCGGGGCAAATCCAATCATTTGTCAACATGTCTTTTCTTCGTGATTTTGATTTTTCTTATAACAACTTCACTGGCCGAATCCCATGCAATTTAGCATGGGCACCAGAAAATGCTTTTGTTGGAAACTCTGGGTTGCATGGGTGTGTAGACAGAATACCCCCTCAGCCCAACGTACCCCCTCAGCCCAACGTACCCCCTCGGCCCAACAGAAATTTCAAAAAGGATAACAGAAGAGTTCTAATTGGTATCCTTGTGCCTGTTTGTGGTTTATTAATGGTTACAACTGTCATTGGTCTTATGTTCCGTAAAAAATCCAGTCTCGTTTTGAACAAAGTCAACACTTCTGAAAACTTTGAGAGTTTGGAGTCAATGATATTGCAAGAGGAAGTAAAGTATACGTTTGCCGAAGTTGTGAAGGCTGTAGATGACTTTCATGAGAAGTACTGCATTGGGGCAGGAGGGTTCGGAAGGGTTTACAAGGCAGAGTTGCAATCAGGCCAAGTTGTTGCAGTTAAAAGGCTTAACATGTCAGACTCTAATGATATTCCAACAATCAATCTCCATAGCTTTCAGAATGAAATCCGAACTTTGACAAGCATCCGGCACCAGAACATCATAAGGCTCTATGGCTTCTGTTCAAGGAGGGGTTGCATATTCTTGCTTTATGAATACTTAGAGAGAGGAAGCCTGGGAAAAGCTTTGTATGGAGTTGAAGGTGTTAATGAACTCGTTTGGGCAACTAGAGTCAAAATTGTGCAAGGACTTGCTCATGCACTTTCTTACTTGCACCATGATTGCTCTCCACCAATTGTGCACCGTGACATAACCGTCAACAATGTATTGCTTGAGTCTGATTTCGAGGTTCGTCTCTCAGATTTCGGAATAGCCAGGTTATTGAGTACTGATTCATCCAACTGGACAGATATCGCTGGTTCATTTGGCTACATAGCACCAGGTAATGTAAACTTAATTTGTACATTTATGGTTCATCTTTTTGCTTATTGGGATACATTTTAAGGTAGCCAGTTTTGTTTTTATTGATGTGCAGAGCTTGCATACACTATGCAAGTCACGGATAAATGTGATGTATATAGCTTTGGAGTGGTGGCGCTCGAAGTCATGATGGGAAGGCACCCAGGAGATATGCTAGAGTCCCAGCTACAAGAATCATCAAAATCAAGGAGGGACAATGTAGAATTGCTCCTGAAAGATTTGTTAGACCAAAGGTTGGAACCGCCAACCAATGAATCTGCAAAGGCAGTGGTGCTTGTAGTGATAATGGCCTTGGCCTGTATACGAACGCGTCCTGAGTCCAGACCCACGATGTTATTTGTGGCACAAAAACTCTCAGCTCAAACCCTGCCTTGTCTTCCTGAACCATTTGGTATGTTGACAATCAACAAGCTAATGGCACTATAAAAAATAAAACAAAAAAAAAAAAAAAGAAGACAAGGGCGAATAGTTCAAACTTCCCTTTTGTATTCCTGCCACACGCAGTTCCATCTAATTTCTCGTGTAATACATCTTCAGTATTGTAATTACTCATCTGTATTCTTTGTCGAATGTCGATTAATGTGTGATGAATTTTCTTAATCTTAATTGCATTAAACCGATAATCCATGTCCTTCCTCTAGTTCAAAGAGCTACCCTAAAAAATTGAACCTACATGGATCATTTTCGCCATGGATTATTTTGAAAGCAAACACATATGGAACTACAGGATGCAATCTGACCTTGCATCTTTGAACCATGTTGCGCGTCGAAGTACATTTGATCTTCCAGGCATTCTTGAACTTTTCCGCTATGTCAAATATAGGTTTGTGCCTTTCCTCTCTAAATCTGCAACAGCCAGAACTGCCTTCACGTTCACAATACAGCACAATAGAAGACACTTTAACACGACAATCTGTTAAATTAGCAAATGGGGAAGTGGTGGAATAACACCGTGGTATTGTGAGCAAGCCTCGGGTGTCCCTGTGGCTTTGGAACCACCCACATAATGATAAACAAGCGTGGCTGCTTTGCCTCAATCCAACACTGACCAGGACATCAAATCTATAGCTTCTGTGCGTTGAACCAAATCCCATCAGGGGTTGTTCTCATAATCCTTGAATTATAATTGTAACTCTTTTAGTTTAATCGTTGTCCTACACGGATCCATCAAACCAAAAGCACATGTGGATTGGAGACATGGGGAGACAGTATGGTATCTGCTTATTGGTTGGCTGGCTTCAAACGATTTTTGAGCTGAAATTTTCTTGCAAAACTAATAAACAAGAAAAGAGAATGCAGCAATAGGGATTACAGTGAAATGTAAACAACCTACAAATAAGTTGACTGTGCAGAAGTTGCTGAAAGAGCGAAAATAACTGGATGAGATGTGACCCTTATCGCATTGGACTTCTATTGTCAGGTGATACTTTCAGGCCACGCTGTGCCTTAAACCGACTGTATATGATTGTTAAAAGACTGACCAAGACTGTTATAAGCATCCAGATTTTCACTTTGTGGTTCATTCATCTACACAATGAGAAACGCTCTACAATCAAACTAACAAAGAGACGCATGCAGTGAGAAATCATCTTCGTTGAATTCTGAATCAACATGCTCGTGTCCATCAAACTCAGCAAGGCCCGTGAATGTCTCAATGAGAACTTCTTTTGCTGCAATATCTTCATCTATGCGATCGTTAACCATACCAACTGGTTCATTGACATGTACTTTTCCATTTTCGGGTTCTACAGCATAATATTTGGTATCTAAAGGTACATTTTTCTCGCAAATTTTGGTTGCCTTGCTCAACCTTGAAGTTAAAGTATTAGTCCGCGGGACACCCTTGTATTTTTGCTTCAATTTCATAATCTTCGATGCTGCTGATCCTGAGCTGAAAACTAGTCTTACCCCTGCCCTTCTTCAGCATCCATGTTCCTATCATGGTGTTCTAACGGAATTGAATCTGATGGAGTTTCAGACGCTGTTATACTTATGCCCTTCCGGGGTGACATGGAAAAGTAATTGCAGTTTGCTTCTGAATTCCAATCAGTTTTCTGCTCAAATGGCCAGAAAAGCGGTTCATCAATAAGTTAGATCTTCCAAATCTTCAGCTTCAGAAGCATGTCCTGAAGCAAAATCACACCAGAATTAGATGACTGAAAGTCATGACCCCGGCAACTACTTTTGTAAGATGGGCTGGAAAAATCAGACAGAAACCAATCTGACTTTGAATCTGTACCCGGTGTCAATTTGTCATCAGGTGCAGCAGGTTGTTGTGCATGATCTTGATTAGGATACTCACCACGCATCATCTCTCCTCCAATACGATCAAATATATTCACAATCAAGTCCTCATAATCATCTCATTCATCTGTTGTTCTTAGCCCCATCTTGATCTCATCTGCAACAGAGGCCGCGGCAGCAGCGGCAGGATCAGGCAGGAGATCAAACTCTCCAATCAAGGCCTCCAAATCAAATCTCAAAGATCATCATCATCTTTTTTCTCACTACCTCTCTATCTGAATCTGCAGTGCAGACGCCTAACAAATTGCAAAACCACAATCAACACTTTGAAGAACTCTTCAAAATGAGGTAATTTTAATACCCTCCACCACTTCATATTGAAAAGCGCATACAAATACAACATGAAACAACAAATATGGCACAATTTGAAGCATGAATAGGCAAGCATGCCTTGCCCGCAGATAATATAGAATAGGAAACAAGAGTATAAAGCATAGAAGGAAGCCTTGTGCAATGTTCCCCATCATCGTGTTTCTCTTAATACCTGACGTGGAAACCAGGAAATTGATGACCCTTTACAAATTTTGAATATTGAGATAATTTATATTACTTGTTCATCTTAGTGTGTCTCTATGAATGCCAAATGATAGCAAACATAAAAATAATACCAGACGCATCAACAGCTACTGAAACTGAAAACCTAAGAGACAGTAGCTTCAAAAACTAGTCCTACACGGTGAAGAAATCTACACCAAAAGAACTGCAAGTACACAGGGAACAGCATGTGAGCTCCGCATCCTACCTCGTACTTAAAGAGATGCAATTTGTAAAGAAAGAATAAAGTGCTTCAATTTTTTAGAATCACGACCATCCTGTTGAGTAGAGAAATTAAAGAACTCATAGGGAATAGACGAGAAAACGAAGTGCCAGTTGTCGACTACTTGATGCCCTCCCCCTCTTCCTTTATCCGGGCTTGGGACCGGCAGTGTAAGATAAACTTACACAGGTGGAGTTAGAGAATTAAAGAACTGTAAAAAGAGAATCAGTTATGGACAAGATGTCAAGACCAATAGAATTGTAAAACACAACTGAGGACAACAGCGAGAAACTTGCATTGCTGGTCCAAAACAGAACGTGACACATCTAATATAGACTAAGGTATGAATACTAAAAATTAAAGAGAGAAAACTTACATTCCACAAAAAATCCATAAAAACAGTGGCAAGAAACATGATAATTGTCCTTATCATCAACAAAACTATCAACACGTTCACAAACTTACACTGAACACTTAACACACCATGTTACCATCAAAATTCAAGCACAATACACAGAACATGCTTATGCTCACAAGCCACACATGCAGAGGGAGTAATTCAAAGCAAAAGAAAACATTAATTTGATTTTCAAATTTAGTATAGTAATTGAAATCATCAACCTTGAAACCTTTTGTCAATAAAAATAAAAAGAAAGTAAGATACTTGGGTGCAAAAGAAATGTATTATAAAGCATTCAGTGGATTAAAATTGGAAACAATCCTAGAAGCACATACATACACATGACTGGGGGAAACACGGTAGACCTGAGGTGCAGCAAAATGAAAGGCACGCAATGGATCAGTACGGCAGAGAAGAAGGCCCAGGTAATCACCTATACCAAATTTGTTAATTAACTAATGAACCAAAAGAAATCAGAGCATATATACTAAGAACGGAAATAAAATTTATACTGATTATAACTGTGCTTCTATATGCACGCCATGGAAATTAGACAGCTGCTGTCACCTCTACGTCCCTCTATTGATGATTCACAGAATCGCTCATCCACAAACAGTCTATCCAGTAATTGAACCCATCTAACAGTTGGCTGATTTCGTCAATTTGAGGCCACTCCTGGGGCAATTTACCTTCAAGCGTTGTCAACCGTTCTTTAATGTCTCCACGCACTGCTTCACCATCTAAAGGATATTCCCTGCCGCCCAAGAATAGTGGAGAAGAAGGAACATCACTCATCAGTGGCACATATTCATGATCTGAAATATGAGTGGGAAAGGGCATCACATTTCCATTAATGTAGCTTATGCACCCCTGGTCGTGATTGCTAGTGTCCCTGTCCAAGCATATGGGATAAGAAGGAACATCACTCATCAATATCACACTATCCGGATCAGAGAAATCAGTCGGCTTCATATTGCCGTTAATGTTGGTTATGCACCCCTGATCATCATACCTAGTGTCAGTAATCATATTGCTTTCAATTCCAACAAAAGGCACAACAGCAGGGGTATTGGTGATCACATTCACATTAGAATGTTTTTGTGAACCCGGTTCTTTTCTTGCTCTCTTTCTCTTAATCAGCGGCTTCTCATTCAATACTTCTTTTCTTGCCCTCTTAATCGGTGGCTTCTCATTGAAGTCGTGAGTTGGACTTGAGGAATTCATCTTGCTTCCACACCTAGACCTCAGATTCCTTTTAAGTCGGGAAAGAACGACCTTTTGAGCTTGTTGACCCACCGCAAACTGCTTGAGAGTCCACATCACATAGGCCTTTCTCTAATGCCATTACCAGGTTCTGGAAGTAATTTTTAGTCACCCTGTCACAATTGGGAAATGGATGAGAAGATTGAATCAGGCAAGGGAGTGAATCAATTTGTAGTCACAGATAACTGACCGTGCAACACAATAACAGACCTCTAATTTAAAAAATAAAAATAAAAAAAGCCGCAAGTAAATTACATGAAAAATGAAAGGATATTGTCTTCCTTCCAGTTCCTATCCTAAAGACTCACTCATTCGCACACTCAGAAAAGCCGGTTCTTGCACACTTTTATCTCTTCACTTCGCACACTCAGAAAAGGATATTGTCTTCCTTCCAGTTCCTATACTAAAGACTCACTGATTCGACCTTTTCATTTGCTGCATTTTGCATCCAGACAATGTTGAACAGACGACTATACACTAGGAAATTCAGTGCGGTTAACCAGACCAGAGATTTCCTCTTTATTTACACATAACTCCATTTGTTTTTTTGGACAAGACACATTTCAACACAAAACATTCCATGGAAAATGAATTTCAACTAATATTTCATCACAATATTTACCCGGTAAGTCCAGCTAGCTTTGTATGGAAATCAATGAATTCTTTCGATGGGCCTTCTGCACTAAGGAATTGCAGTAGCTCCTTCTCTGCACACTGAAGAAGCCTTTCCAAAGCAGACTCTGCCTCACCTGAAGACAAAAGCAGAATTGAATATTTCAGAAAACTTATAAAACAACTCCTAACTGGTTCCTGCAGATATACACAGTTAATACCTTGCAAGTACTCAAAAAACTGCCTCTTCGCTTGCTTCTAACTAGTTCCTGCAGATATACACAGTTAATAAAAAAACCCTTTACCACTACCATCGTCAATCTTCAAACATAATTCTGTGGTCCAATTACAGTTCCATGTTTACTATTCTACAAATCAGGACATCTAGTTAGTGTGGTCATATTGAAGACTAATAATATTCAAAAATTCCAAGCGTCAACTCCACGCTTGACGGGAAGACTTGACCGACCGGGTCAGTCAACACTGGCACCATACAGCTCTTGATTGAGTTGAAAATCCTTTCAGAAATTCCAAGCGTAAAGAAAGGATTAGAAACTCTGCACCTCCAAAGTTGTTACTAGCTCCCATATTTATTTGTGACGCATACAAACTGGCGGAAAAACAAATCATACTGCAACTCAAAACCATGACAGTTCTTTATATGCTCCTGCTGCTGTCCGCATTGCCACTGATCAAAACGACATCAATATCGCCAAGAAAACAAGCAGAATCGCTTGTCAAATGGAAGGACGGCTTTTCTTCATCATCATTCATCAATTCATGGTCCCTCACAAACCTCAACAGCCTCTGCAACTGGGCTGCCATTTCCTGCTCCAAAACCAGAACAGTCTCCAAAATAGACCTCTCCAATATGCATATTGACGGATCACTGTCCCTTTTCGACTTTTCCTCATTTCCAAATCTCACCCACTTCAATCTGAATGGCAACTATTTCCATGGGCCTATACCATCTGAGATTGACCAGGTAACAGAGCTTCAGTATCTAAATCTCCGCGACAACAGTCTCTCCGGTACCATCCCTTACCAACTGAGCAATCTCAAAAAGACCTTGGATTAAACAATTTTAACAATACTGATCAAGATTGGTCAGAATTTGCAGGCATGCCCTCATTGACCTACCTTGCTATGTCTATGCAAGCTGATAATCTATATCATTCAAAATTCCCAGAATTTATATCTCAATGCCGGAACTTGACGTTCCTCGACTTGTCTCAAAATAAATTAAATGGCCAAATTCCACCTTCGATAGGCCAACTCAGGGAGCTCCAGTACCTTGATCTTTCATACAACTCCTTAAGCTCTTCTATCCCTTCTGAGCTCGGTCTTTGTACAAACCTCACCCACTTGTTCCTGGCTTTCAATGAACTCAACGGGGAACTGCCTCTGTCCTTGTCCAATCTGAACAACCTCGTCGAATTGGGTTTAGCTAATAACCATATCTCTGGCACGATTCCACCTTCGATAGGCCAACTCAGGGGGCTCCAATACCTCAATCTTTCATACAACTCCTTAAACTCTTCTATCCCTTCTGAGCTTGGTCTTTGTACAAACCTCACCCACTTGTCCCTGGCTTCCAATCAACTCAACGGGGAACTGCCTCTGTCCTTGTCCAATCTGAACAACCTCGTCGAATTGAGTTTAGCTTATAACCGATTTTCAGGCACGATTCCGGACAATATAGGTTTGATTTCTGGTCTTCAAAGTATTGACCTGAGAATGAATCATCTGGAAGGGAAAATTCCATCCTCTGTATGCCAAATCAGGGAGCTCCAGTACCTTAATCTTTCATACAACTCCTTAAACTCATCAATCCCTTCTGAACTTGGCCTTCGTACAAACCTCACCCACTTGTCCTTGTCTTCCAATAAACTCAATGGGGAACTGCCTCTGTCCTTGTCCAATCTGAGCAACCTTGTTGAATTGGGCTTAGATAATAATCTATTTACTGGTCAAATCCTTCCTTCTCTGGTCTCCAATTGGATTAATATGGAATCTTTGCAACTTCAGTCCAATGAACTCAGTGGGGAGATTCCGACGGAAGTTGGAAATATGAACTTTCTGTTGACGCTCAATCTAAGAAGGAACCACTTGACAGGAGTGGTCCCTCAGATTCTAGGCAATTTAGCTCTGCTTAAGCTGCTCGATTTGTCACACAACCATCTTTCGGGGCAAATCCCATCATTTGTCAACACGATTTTTCTTCGTGATTTTAATTTTTCTTATAACAACTTGACTGGCCGAATCCCATGCGTTTTCCAATGGGCACCAGAAAATGCTTTTGTTGGAAACTCTGGGTTGCATGGGTATGTAGACTCGTGTGTAGACAGTAGTGTGATCAGGTTCAGTAGCTTGATGTATATGATCTTGATTTGGGTCTTCATCATCCTCTCCTCCAATATGATTAAAGAATTCAGTAATCAAGTCCTCCTCATCATCCAACTCTCTTTCATCCGCGGTTCTTGGCCCCTCCTCAATCTCGTGATGATGATGACCGAGATGAGTAGTCAGCCGAGGCACAACGGCAGCCTCGTCTGCAGCAGAGGCCGCAACAGCAGAATCAGGCAGAAGCTCAAACTCGTCAATTAAGGATCTTAACAGATCATCATCCAAGCAATCATTTGCTTCGGTGGTGCTGCTTGAGGACCCCTCGTGATGAAGTAGATCATCAAGCTCCCTAATCGAGTCCTCCATTACCAAAAGATCATCATCCGAATCATGAGTCCTCTGCCTCTTGACCGTATCACCCAAAACCGTAACGGTATCATCGGAATCGGAATCAGGGAAACGCGGACGCTTGAGAGAAGAGACAGTGGGCCTCAAATCTTGACCCCTCATCTCCAATTTTCCAGTTTCTTCACGAAACACAAGACAAACAGACGAAAGCGGTGTGCTTTCTGCGAAAACCAAAAACCTAAGTGGATAATGTGGAAGAAGAAAAAGCAACACTTTCCAAACACAAGGGCTAATAAAGAAGATCAGCGAAGAGTGCGACTGAATTGATTTTACGGGATTTGGGGATTAGGGTTTCTTGTTACAGTGCTAGACAGACAGAAATTAACGATACCGAGAAATAAAACAGAAGAAAAGGCAAGAACTGAACCTGGAACTGGGAACAAGTCGTCGACTTTCTGCACAGAGAAGAGGATGTATTCGTCCCCAAATTTGAATCGAGCTTCCAATTTCTGCTCAGAGAGAGATCAAGCGAGAGAGAGAGAGAGAGAGCAACAAATTTGAATTGGGCTTCGAATTCGGACGCACACAGAGAGAACGCAACAACGCAACACGATCGTTTGAGCGAGAGAGAGAGAGCGAGAGAGCGATCCAGAGATCCAGTGGGGGAGTGGGATGGGGGTTTTGAAATTTAAAGAAGGGAAAATATGACCGTTTGGGAATAGTACCGCTTAAACGCGGGTTTCATCACGTGCCGTTTTCCCTCTGCTCTTCGGCGCCTGCGAGTGGGAGTAATTTTTCGGTGTACCCGGTACACCAAAAAAATTTGGTGTACCCTCACTCATAATGGTGAGGGTACACCAAAAAAATTTGATGCACCCTCACTTTTTGTACACCAAAAAAATTCTAATGAGTGAGGGTACACCAAAAAAATTTGGTGTACCCGGTACACCTAAAAATTTTCCTGCGAGTGGGAACCCCTACCCAAAGGGCCCAACCCAACCACATTGTGTCTCGAATGACTAAATTACCCACGAATTTCAAATCATGCAGATCGCAGAGCTCGGGGTATTTTAGTCAAACCAAAAACTCAAAAGCTCAAAGGATCGCAGAATCGTATCACTCTCTTGGTTACGAGTTGTTTGTTTGATCCAGATGTGTATGAGAAGTGTGGCGTTTGATAGTACGCGATGCGAGTAAGGTGTTCAATAAGATTTTGAAGTCGATAGAAGTAATCGTTGAATTTGTTCATTATCAATTATTTTGAGTTATTCAGTAAAAAATCATATTAAATATGGATAAAATGACGAAAATACTCTCAATTTAATAAACAATGAGTGAAAATAATTTGATAAAAATTAAGGATATTTTTATCATTTTATACTTATCAAATGAAAATTTTACACGGAATGACCAAAATGATTGATGGCGGACAAACTCAGAGACTACTTCTATGAAACTCAAATCTCAATGAACGAAGTGATGAATTATATTAATCTCAATAACCATTTTAGCTATAAAACTTTAATAGACCATTGAAACCAAAATTGTCCAATTCCTCCTTCGTATTATTTCCACACACCTTTATTCCCAGCCCATCAAATTTCCTCAAGCATTAATATACTTTTAGCCATGATTTTTCTAATAATTTAGACAAAACATTTTCCAAACATCGATTGTACACATGTTTAATGACTTTGAAACGAAAAAATGGCCACATTTTAATTAGCAAAATGTATTTCAAGTAAAAATAGGATAGAATTGGCCAGTATCCTGAGCATCATCAACAAAGGTAAGGACAGAACAATACAAAATGAAACATGAATTACCAAGAATTCCATCAACTCACATAAAAGTGTTAATAAAAGTTAACATTCAATGGTGTATCTAACACTAAAACTAATCATGTTTTCACTTTGCACCACTCAATTCAACATAATTAATGAATATACTTCCAGATATTACAGGACCAGTGACCCAGCACCGAGCCCTACACCAGGCCATGAAAATTAAATTCAAACGAGCATATTTTAGTTTATTCAGAGCCCCGTATCCTGTGTAGCACCCAAACATAACATTGCATTAATGTTATCCAATGTGATCCAAAGCAATCTAACCCTCCGTCCTAATCCAATCCGAGTTACCAAACATGGCCTGAGGAAAAAATTTAAGAGGATTTCAGACGCTAGACACACTAACCCATGCACACACGTGTAACTTGCGCATGAAACCAATTACCAAAAAAGTTAATATTCCCCACAATTTATCACATTAAATTCCCTTGCATACCAAAAGCAGTGGAAGTTATCGAATCAGCACACGAAAAGTAGTGAAAAATAAAGGTTAGAGAAGGAGAAAAAAAAACATAATACTCTAATTATGACAAGCACATAATGAAGGGGTATTCTTACCATGGAAGCAACCAGAAAGCCAATAAATGTATCAAAAGAGAAATGCATTAAGTAACAGTGTAAAACCACAAAATACAATTTTGGATGCTAAGAGAAAATACAAACCAGTTCATGTTTTCAGACTCAGCACTGTTGTTTAAAATCCATTTCTCCACAGTGCTACAGTCGACAGGACGGTGAGCTTCCTCTGTACACTGCACAGCCAAAACAAAATATGACTCACCTAATATAGATAAGTTTTCGCTGAGATATTAAATACCAAAAGTTACAAAAGGAAACTTAGAGCCTCTTTGGTATTAGATTTGAGTCCAAAAATTTTAACTCAAAAATAATTTTTAAGTTTTAAAGTAAAAAAAACCCGTTTGGTAAGCCCATTTTGCAAAACTGGACTCAAAAAAAATTTAAGAACAGCCCATTATAATTTGAAAACAACAAAAGTCAGGTTTTAGTATTTTTTTTTTTTCATAGATTCAGATCGCAATGGAGGTCTGAGTGACTTGCGCTGGGCAGACCACGAACAAGCCTTCCGCCTCACCAATCACGAACGACCAAGAGATTCCGGCCAGTAGGGTGAAAGTTCCGGCGAATAGCTTTAAGCTTCAAATCTCTGAGTGGTTGATTGGGGACAAGACTAGGCCATTCTCTTCACTGTCAGGAACAATCAAGGTAATGGGTCTTTCTCTTACTATTTTGTTTGGTTCCTCAAAATGGAGAAAATGATCAGAAAGTTGGATTTATGTGTTTTATGTGTTGGGTTGTGAGAAATTGAGTTTATCTGTCTAATTGGTGTGATTCATTTATGTACTGTATATATATTCTGAGCAGCGGAGCAGAGACAGTGTGGCATTGCAAATCGCAATCCAAATTGATCGATTTCGGTTCCAGGAAGAACAAATACAAGCTTTTGTTCACAAGGACATCGAATCGGACTCAGTCGTTTTCGTTCTCGGTGAAGAGCGTTCTGGACAAGCCTAATTAGCTCAAGAATCCGATCATCGAACAAGGTCCTCCTCCTCATCTTCTCTGTTCTTTGATATATAGATATATATATATATATATATATATATACACACTTATATATTTAAAAAAAAAAATCATGCTTTAATGCTTTGATTATTCATCACTCGCATTTTACCTAGTTAGTTTCAGAAAAGGATTGGGAACCACCATCTGGTTGTGATTAATTTACATGAAAAGTGTATTAAAAAATCCATTCTTTGTTAGTCTGATGGTCATAATTTGCTATCCGTTTTTCCATCCAAATTCAACTTTTGAGGAGTTTTTGGAAGTGGGGTTTGTTTATTAGATGGCTAAGAGCTTGAAAATCATCTTTTTAAGCTGGATTTTTGCTATCTTGAATCGATAGATGGCACGAATTAGCTGATGAGTTCAGATCCTTTTTTTATGCTGACATGGTAAATATGTGGTTGGTTACAAAATTCATATGGTTGCTTGTTTCATAGAATGGATTTCTGACATTTGCTACATGTATGTAGCAAGTAATATTATGTGATATACTTGTTTCATTCGATGGGTCTTTGGAGTAGTCAAAATGTCAAATGTTTGAGTTCAAAAATGAATTTTTCATATTTTCTCTGTGAATGCTTTAATGATAGACTTGGTCTTTAAATTACATTGTGTTTTTTAGCGATGGTTCCTGTTTGGATTTAATAAGAGAAGTCTCGTTTTCATTTTGGTGTCGAAAATTGTGCAATTTGGATTTTAACCCTTGGAATTCAACAAGGGTAGTGATTTTCACTTGTGTTCTCATGTACCCTTCTGTTTTTTGGAACCCTTGATTTGCTTTGATTCTCCATTTGATTCATCATGTTCAAAGGCTGGAAAGACGGGATGAGTGCAGTGGTCGAAGCACTTCCCATCTAACCGAACTTGACAAATTTCAATAGGAGCCTTTGTGAATATCTTGTTTTTATTCATTAGATACATTGGATTCTCTGGTACAAATAGCATCTACTTAACTACAAATTTCAATAGGAGCCTTTGTGAATATCTTGTTTTTAAATTTGTTAATCTGTTACAAATTAAGGGTTAATTTGGTGAATGAAGAACAATGAATAGGAAGGCAAAGTTCCAATCTTTTTTGTTATTCATGGGGGCTTATGTCCCTTGCAAAGCGGGAGACTTGTTGGTTTAGGGTTGCCCTTATTCTTCTTGTTAATTACATATTTAGCTAATTAGAACTGAATGCTATTTAAGTTTTGATCTTTCATTCTGGTAAATTTGTATGACTTTTGCAATACAAAAACTATGTCCCCTTTCTTTTGAGATTTCCTTTAACCTTGTCTTTTCAACTGGGGACTTGCGTGAAGTCGTATTGTCATGCCTGTGTCTTTGGAAGAGGTAAATGAGTTACTCTTAGGTCACACTACTCTTATTTTGTTTGATATTCGCATGCATAAAATGCCTTTTTATTTATCATCTAGTTCATGAAAACTGAGTATATAGTACATACTACATAGAACTGAGTATATATGTGTTTTGTGCATTCAGAAGTGAACGTAGCTTTTAGCTTTGTACATTCATAAGTGAATATAATTATTGGTTTGTCTATATAGGATGGATTCAAATGAAATGGACAACACTGGTTCAAAGTCAGAAAGTGATTCATCATTTGATTTGGATGGTTCAAGTTCAGAAGGGGAAAACATGCATTTGAATGACAACAATGTTATGAATGATGTTAGAGACCACATAGCCGGATCAATGTGGCTTGATTACGTCAATAACAATTAGTCTCAAAGTTTATTGGTTTTCTAGAATGTTTTAATGTAATATTTATTGTCTAAGGCTTGAAGTTTAATTTGATTACCGAGCATAGATGTGTTGTATTAGCACATGAATATCAAAATAGTATGTTTAAGGTTTAATTTCATATGTTTTGTATATCTTAAAACAAATACATAATTGCAAAAAAAAATGTTGTTTTTAAGAGTTAAACCAAACAAGTTTTCAAATTTTTAGATTCAAAAATAGTTTTTAAGTTCAATGCCAAACACGTTTTTGAAACCTAAAAGAAACTGTTTCTAAGAAATGTTCTTAAAAGTAAGAACAATTCAAGTTTTTTAGTAGGATACCAAACAGGCCCTTACATTCCAACAAAATCCATAGGAGCAGAGGCAAGATACATCATAATTTTCATTGTCACCAACAAAATTAACAGCATATTCACAGCCCGGATAAGGACACCACTTGGTCTAGCAGCAAAGAAAAAGAATTACAAATCATGGTGAGAAAAATGGAAAAATATGAAGGAGGAAAAATGATATTCATAAATTCCACTATACCACACAAGAGTAATAGAGAGGAACACATCATTGTTCCATCAAAAAGAAAATAAACCACTAATAAAAAACTGATACTCATATATTCACACTCACACGCCCACACAGGCACAGGAGTAATTGAAAAGAAAAGAAACCACCAATCATTTTTCAATATAGTAATTAAAATTAGGGATACTTTGGATGCGGTCCTTAATTCTTAACATTCTTTGATTAAAACCTTAATGGTATTCAAAGTTTGGTCAAAGTTCTTTGAATTTGTACACCTCATTATATTACTATTGATATTTATATTTTTATAGTTTTGACATTAATTGTTTGATATTTTATGACATTTATAATCCTATAAATTTAAAATCCCTCATCATAATACTATTAAAAACGGCTACAATAAAAAGATTCAAACATTTTGATTGAATAAATGGATAAAAAGTATGTAACAATAAGAAATAATAGTGTTAAAAAAAATTGGTACATTTCTCATAGAACAAAGTGTTAAAAAAAAACAGATGGCAAAAGAATGTAGCCATAGTGTTAAAAAAATTGGTACATTTCACATATAACTAAGTGGTAAATTAGTAAAGAAGAACGGGTACATTATAAATAAATTAGGGTACAAATAAAAGATTAAAAAATTATGAGTACAAATGAAATTTTAAAAAATATGGGCACAAAAAGAAATTAATACATGGGTACAAATTAAAACTAAAAATAAAATACTACAAATTTAAAAAAAGGTTGCAAATTAAAAGTGGGTACAAACTAAAAATATAAATATATAATACAAAGTTTAACCATAAACATAAATATACCATATGTAATTTTTCTATTATAGAGTAGAACTTTTTCTCCATTTGCCATTTAATGCATCGAAAATAAAACACAAAGTCACGGTTGCTGCAATTTCCTTGTAGCATTCACATGGTCTTCAATAGTGGTCATATTGAAGACTAATACTATTCAAACATTCCAAGCGTCAACTCCACGCTTGACGGGAAGACTAGACCGACCGGGTCAGTCAACACTGGCACCATACGGCTCTTGATTGAGGTGAAAATTCTTTCAGAAATTCCAAGCATAAAGAAAGGATTAGAAACTCTGCACCTCCAAAGTGGTGCATACAAACAATACAAAACGAAACATGAATTACCAAGAATTCCACCAACTCACATAAAAGTGTTAATAAAAGTTAACTTTCAATGGTGTATCTGAAACTAAAACTAATCATGTTTTCACTTTGCACCACTCAATTCAACATAATTAATTAATATACTTCCAGACATTACAGGACTAGTGACCCAACACCGAGCCCTACGCTGGACCATGAAAATTAAATTCAAATGACCATATTTTAGTTTATTCAGAGTCTCGTATCCTGTGTAGCACCCAAACATAACATTGCATTAATGTTATCCAACGTGATCCAAAGCAATCTAACCCTCCCTCCTAATCCAATCCGAGTTACCAAACATGGCCTGAGGAAAAAATTTAAGAGGATTTCAGACGCTAGACACACTAACCCATGCACACACGCGTAACTCGCGCATAAAACCTATTACCAAAAAAGTTAATATTCCCCACAATTTATCACATTAAATTCCCTTGCATACCAAAAGCAGTGGAAGTTATCGAATCAGCACACGAAAATTAGTGAAAAATAAAGGTTAGAGAAGGAGAAGAAAACCATAATACTCTAATTATGACAAGCACATAATGAAGGGGTATTCTTACCACGGAAACAACCAGAAAGCCAATAAATGTATCAAAAGAGAAATGCATCAAGTAAAAGAGTAAACCACAAATACAATTTTGGATGCTAAGAGAAAATACAAACCAGTTCATGTTTCAGACTCAGCACTGTTGTTTAAAATCCATTTCTCCACAGTGCTACAGTCGACAGGACGATGAGCTTCCTCTGTACACGGCTTAAGGACACCACTTGGGTCTAGCAGCAAGAAAAAGAATTACAAATCATGGTGAGAAAAATGGAAAAATATTGAAGGAAGAAAAATGATCTTCATAAAATTCCACTATACCACACAGAGTAATAGAGAGGAATTGAAAAAAAGAAAATAAACCACTAATAAAAAATGATACTCATATATTCACACTCACACGCTCACACAGGCACAGGAGTAATTGAAAAGAAAAGAAACCACCAATCATTTTTCAATATAGTAATTAAAATTGGGGATACTTTGAATGCTGTCCCTAATTCTTACACTCTTTGACTAAAACCTTAATGGTATTCAAAGTTGATCAAAGTCCCTTGAATTTGTACACCTCATTATATTACTATTGATATATATATTTTATAGTTTTGACATTAATTGTTTGATATTTTATGACATTTATAATCCTATAAATTTAAAATCCCTCATTATGATACTATTAAAAATGGCTACAATAAAAATATTCAAACATTTTGATTGAATAAATGGATAAAAACTATGTAACAATAAGAAATAATAGTGTTAAAAAAAATTGGTACATTTCTCATAGAACAAAGTGTTAAAAAAAAAAACAGATGGCAAAAGAATGTAGCCATAGTGTTAAAAAAATTGGTACATTTCACATATAACAAAGTGGTAAATTAGTAAAGTAGAATGGGTACATTATAAATAAAATAGGGTACAAATAAAAGATTAAAAAATTATGGGTACAAATGAAATTTTAAAAAATAAGGGCACAAAAAGAAATTAATACATGGGTACAAATTAAAACTAAATATAAAATACTACAAATTTAAAAAAAGGTTACAAATTAAAAATGGATACAAACTAAAAATATAAATATATGATACAAAGTTTAACCATAAATATAAATATACCATACGTAATTTTTCTGTTATAGAGTACAACTTTTTCTCCATTTGCCATTTAATGCATAGAAAATAAAACATGCACAATTGCATGCAGGCAAACACAAAGTCACGGTTGCTGCAATTTCCTTGTAGCATTCACATGGCCTTCAATTGTGGTCATATTGAAGACTAATACTATTCAAAAATTCCAAGCGTCAACTCCACGCTTGACGGGAAGACTTGACCGACCGGGTCAGTCAACACTGGCACCATACGGCTCTTGATTGAGTTGAAAATCCTTTCAGAAATTCCAAGCGTAAAGAAAGGATTAGAAACTCTGCACCTCCAAAGTTGTTACTAGCTCCCATATTTATTTGTGACGCATACAAACTGGCGAAAAAACATATCATACTGCAACTCAAAACCATGACATTTCTTTATATGCTCCTGCTGCTGTCCGCATTGCCACTGATCAAACCGACATCAATATCTCCAAGAAAACAAGCAGAGTCGCTCGTCAAATGGAAGGGCGGCTTTTCTTCTTTATCATCATCAGCGCCACCTTCACTACTCAATTCATGGTCCCTCACCAACCTCAACAGCCTCTGCAACTGGACTGCCATTTCCTGCTCCAAAACCAAAACAGTCTCCAAAATAGACCTCTCCTATATGCAAATTGACGGAACGCTGTCCCTTTTCGACTTTTCCTCATTTCCAAATCTCACCCACTTCAATCTAAGTGGCAACTATTTCGATGGGCCTATACCATCTGAGATTGACCAGGTAACAGAGCTTCAATATCTAAATCTCCGCGACAACAGTCTCTCCGGTACCATCCCTTACCAACTGAGCAATCTCAAAAAGGTACGGTATATGGACCTTGGATTAAACTATTTTAACAGTACTGATCAAGATTGGTCAGAATTTGCAAGCATGCCCTCATTGACCTACCTTGCTATGTCTATGCTAGCTGATAATCTATATCATTCAGAATTCCCAGAATTTATATCTCAATGCCGGAACTTGACGTTCCTCGACTTGTCTCAAATTAATTTGAATGGCCAAATTCCACCTTTGATAGGCCAACTCAGGGAGCTCCAGTACCTTGATCTTTCATACAACTTCTTAAACTCTTCTATCCCTTCTGAGCTTGTTCTTTGTACAAACCTCACCCACTTGTCCCTGGCTTCCAATAAACTCAACGGGGAACTGCCTCTGTCCTTGTCCAATCTGAACAACCTCATCGAATTGAGTTTAGCTGATAACCATATCTCTGGCACGATTCCACCTTGGATAGGCCAATTCAGGGAGCTCCAGTACCTTGATCTTTCATACAACTCCTTAAACTCTTCTATCCCTTCTGAGCTTGGTCTTTGTACAAACCTCACCCACTTGTCCCTGGCTTCCAATAAACTCAACGGGGAACTGCCTCTGTCCTTGTCCAATCTGAACAACCTCGTCGAATTGAGTTTCGCTAATAACCATATCTCTGGCACGATTCCACCTTGGATAGGCCAACTCAGGGAGCTCCAGTACCTTGATCTTTCATACAACTCCTTAAACTCTTCTATCCCTTCTGAGCTCGGTCTTTGTACAAACCTCACCCACTTGTTCCTGGCTTTCAATGAACTCCACGGGGAACAGCCTCTGTCCTTGTCCAATCTGAACAACCTCGTCGAATTGGGTTTAGCTAATAACCATATCTCTGGCACGATTCCACCTTCGATAGGCCAACTCAGGGAGCTCCAGTACCTTGATCTTTCATACAACTTCTTAAACTCTTCTATCCCTTCTGAGCTTGTTCTTTGTATAAACCTCACCCACTTGTCCCTGGCTTCCAATAAACTCAACGGGGAACTGCCTCTGTCCTTGTCCAATCTGAACAACCTCGTCGAATTGAGTTTAGCTGATAACCATATCTCTGGCACGATTCCACCTTGGATAGGCCAATTCAGGGAGCTCCAGTACCTTGATCTTTCATACAACTCCTTAAACTCTTCTATCCCTTCTGAGCTTGGTCTTTGTACAAACCTCACCCACTTGTCCCTGGCTTCCAATAAACTCAACGGGGAACTGCCTCTGTCCTTGTCCAATCTGAACAACCTCGTCGAATTGAGTTAGCTTATAACCGATTTTCAGGCACGATTCCAGACAATATACGCTTGATGTGTGTTCTTCAAAGTATTGACCTGAGAATGAATCATCTGGAAGGGAAAATTCCATCCTCTGTAGGCCAAATCAGGGAGCTCCAGTACCTTAATCTTTCATACAACTCCTTAAACTCATCAATCCCTTCTGAACTGGCCTTCGTACAAACCTCACCCACTTGTCCTTGTCTTCCAATAAACTCAATGGGGAACTGCCTCTGTCCTTGTCCAATCTGAGCAACCTCGTTGAATTGGGCTTAGATAATAATCTATTTACTGGTCAAATCCTTCCTTCTCTGGTCTCCAATTGGATTAATATGGAATCTTTGCAACTTCAGTCCAATGAACTCAGTGGGGAGATTCCGACGGAAGTTATAAATATGAGAGTTCTGTTGACGCTCAATCTAAGAAGGAACCACTTGACAGGAGTGATCCCTCAGATTCTAGGCAATTTAGCTCAACTTGAGCTGCTCGATTTGTCACACAACCACCTTTCGGGGCAAATCCCATCATTTGTTAACCAGATTTTTCTTCGTGATGTTAATTTTTCTTACAACAACTTGACTGGCCGAATCCCATGCGTTTTCCAATGGGCACCAGAAAATGCTTTTGTTGGAAACTCTGGATTGCATGGGTATGTAGACTCGTGTGTAGACAGTATACCCCCTCGGCACAACAAAAATTTCAAAAAGAATAACAAAAGAGTTCTAATTGGTATCCTTGTGCCTGTTTGTGGTTTATTAATGGTTACAACTGTCATTGGTCTTATGTTCCGTAAAAAATCCAGTCTCGTTTTGAACAAAGTCAACACTTCTGAAAACTTTGAGAGTTTGGAGTCGATGATATTGCAAGAGGAAGTAAAGTTTACGTTTGGGGAAGTTGTGAAGGCTGTAGATGACTTTCATGAGAAGTACTGCATTGGGGCAGGAGGGTTTGGAAGGGTTTACAAGGCAGAGTTGCAATCAGGCCAAGTTGTTGCAGTTAAAAGGCTTAACATGTCAGACTCTAATGATATTCCAGCAATCAATCTCCATAGCTTTCAGAATGAAATCCGAACTTTGACAAGCATCCGGCACCGGAACATCATAAGGCTCTATGGCTTCTGTTCAAGGAGGGGTTGCATATTCTTGCTTTATGAATACTTAGAGAGAGGAAGCCTGGGAAAAGCTTTGTATGGAGTTGAAGGTGTTAATGAACTCGTTTGGGCTACTAGAGTCAAAATTGTGCAAGGACTTGCTCATGCACTTTCTTACTTGCACCATGATTGCTCTCCACCAATTGTGCACCGTGACATAACCGTCAACAATGTATTGCTTGAGTCTGATTTCGAGGTTCGTCTCTCAGATTTTGGAATAGCCAGGTTATTGAGTACAGATTCATCCAACTGGACAGATATTGCTGGTTCATTTGGCTACATAGCACCAGGTAATGTAAACTTAATTTGTACATTTATGGTTCATCTTTTTGCTTATTGGGATATGTTTTAAGGTAGCCAGTTTTGTTTTTATTGATGTGCAGAGCTTGCATACACTATGCGAGTAACAGATAAATGTGATGTATATAGCTTTGGAGTGGTGGCGCTCGAAGTCATGATGGGAAGGCACCCAGGAGATATGCTAGAGTCCCAGCTACAAGAATCATCAAAATCAAGGAGGGACAATGTAGAATTGCTCTTGAAAGATTTGTTAGACCAAAGGTTGGAACCGCCAACCAATGAATCTGCAAAGGCAGTGGTGCTTGTAGTGACAATGGCCTTGGCCTGTGTACAAACGCGTCCAGCGTCCAGACCTACAATGTTATTGACGGCACAAAAACTGTCAGTTCAAACCCTGCCTTGCCTTCCCGAACCATTTGGTATGTTGACAATCAACAAGCTAATGGCACTATAAATAATAAAACAAAAAAAAAAAAAAAAGAAGAAAAGGGCGAATAGCTCAAACTTCCCTTTTGTATTCCTGCCACTCGCAATTCCATCTAATTTCTCATGTAATACATCTTCAATACTGTAATTACTCATCTGTATGATTTGTCGAATGTGGATTAATGTGTGATGAATTTTCTTAATCGTAATTGCATTAAACCGATAATCCATAATGTGTCAAAATAACTCCACAATTAATAAAAAAACTTGAATTATGGATTTGTGTCCTTCCTCTAGTTCAAAGAGCTACCCTAAAAAATTGAACCTGCATGGATCCTTTTCGCCATGGATTATTTTGAAAGCAAACACATATGGAACTACAGGATGCAATCTGACCCTTGCATCTTTGAACCATGTCGCGCGTCGAAGTACATTTGATCTTCCAGGCATTCTTAAACTTTTCCGCTATGTCGAATATAGGCTTGTGCCTTTCCTCTCTAAATCTGCAACAACCAGAACTGCTTTCACATTCACACTACAGCACAATAGAAGACACTTTGACACGACAATCTGTTAAATTAGCAAATGGGAAAGTGGTGGAATAACACCGTAATATTGTGAGCAAGTCTCCGGCGTAGAGGCCATGGGGGAGGTCCCTGTTGCTTTGAAACCACCCACATAATGATAAAACAGCAAATCTATAGCTTCTGTGCGTTAAACCAAATCCCATCAGGAGTTGTTCTCATAATCTATAGCTTCTACACTGATTCATCAAACCAAAAGCACATATGGATTGGAGACAGTATAGTATCAGCTTACTGGTTGACTGGCTTCAAACGATTTTAAGCTTAAAATTTCTCGCAAAACTAATAAACAAGAAAAGAGAATGCAGCAATAGGGATTACAGTGAAATGGAAACAACCTACAAAGAAGTTGCTATTGTCAGGTGATACTTTCAGCAATAGGGCGAAAATAACTGGATGAGATGTGACCCTTATCGCGTTGGACTTCTATTGTCAGGTGATACTTTCAGGCCACGCTTTGCCTTAAACCAACTGTATATGATTGTTAAAAGACCAACCAAGACTGTTATAAGCGTCCAGATTTTCACTTTGTGGTTCATTCATCTACGCAATGAGAAACGTTCTACAATCGAACTAACAAAGAGACGCATGCAGTAAGAAATCATCTTCGTTGAATTCTGAATCAACTCGCTTGTGTCCATCAAACTTAACAAGGCCCATGATATACTTATGCCCTTCCAGGGTGACATGGAAAAGTTATTCCAGTTTGCTTCTGAATTCCAATCAATTTTCTGCTCAAACGGCCAGAAAAGCGATTCATCAATAGTAGTTAGATCTTCCATATCTTCAGCTTCAGAAGCATGTCCTAATGCAAAATCACACCAGAATTAGATGACCGAAAGTTATAACCCCAGCAACTACTTCTGTAAGATGGGCTGGGAAAATCAGACAGAAACCAATCTGACTTTGAATCTGTACCCGGCCTCCAAATCAAATCTCAAAGATCATCATCATGTTTTCTCTCATTACCTCTCTATCTGACCCTGCAGTGCAGCAGGGCAGACGCCTAACAAACTGCAAAACCACAATCAACACTTTGAAGAACTCTTCAAAATGAGATAATTTTAATACATTTCACCACCTCATACCAAAAAGTGCATACATAGACAACATGAAACAACAAATATGCCACAATTTGAAGCATGAAAAGGCAAGCATACCTTGCCTGCAGATAAGATACTATCGGAGGGAGGAACAGAAAAAGGTAGGTGCATTGGCCCTCCTTGCAATATATACTTCTTGACCGCACATGAATTTGAAGGTCAATAATGTCGAATAAGAAACAAGAGTATAAAGCATAGAAGGAAGCCTTGTTCAATTCGACAAAGACAGACTTTTCTGCAATCTGAAATCACGACCTATGAGTGCCATGTTCACCATCATCGTTTACTCTCTTAATACCTGACGTGGAAAACAGGAAATTGATGACCCCTTGCAAATTTTTGAATATTAAGATAATTTATATTACTTATTCATCTTAGTGTGTCTCTATGCATGCCAAACGATAACAAACATAAAAATAAAGCAGACACATCAGAATTGCAATTGAAGGCATTTCTTTCAAATGATCAAAATGACAGTCAAATATGGGCTGTGAGGATTGTCATGCTCTCACAAATGGGACATACATAATATCAGAAACATCAACAGCTACTGAAACTGAAAACCTAAGAGACAGTAGCTTCAAAAACTAGTCCCACATGATGAAGAAATCTACACCAAAAGAACTGCAAGTACACAGGAAACAGCATGTGAGCTCCGCATCCTACCTCGTACTTAAAGAGATGCAATTTGTAAAGAAAGAATAAAGTGCTTCATTTTTTTAGAATCCCGACCATCCTGTTGAGCAGAGAAATTAAAGAACTCATAGGGAATCGATGTGAAAACGAAGTGCTGGTTACCCTCCCCCTCCTCCTTTATCCGGGCTTGGGACCGGCAACGTAAGATAAACTTACACATGCGGAGTTAGAGAAATAAAGAACTGTAAAAAGAAAATCAGTTATGGGCAAGATGTCAAGACCAATAGAACTGTAAAAGCAAAACAGTCCAAAAACACAACTAAGGACAACAGCGAGAAACTTTCATTGCTGGTCCAAAACAGAACGTGACATATCTAATATAGACTAAGGTATGAATACTAAAAATTAAACAGAGAAAACTTACATTCCACAAAAAAATCCATAAAAACAGTGGCAAGAAACTTGATAATTGTCCTTATCGTCAACAAAACTATCAACACGTTCACAAACTGACACTGAACACTTAACACACCATGTTACCATCAAAATTCAAGCACAATACGCAGAACATGCACATGCTCAGAAGCCACACGTGCAGAAGGAGTAATTCAAAGGAAAAGAAAACATTAATTTGATTTTCAAATTTAGTATAGTAATTGAAATCATCAACCTTGAAACCTTTTGTCAATAAAAATAAAAAGAAAGTAAGAAACTTGGGTGCAAAAGAAATGTATTATAAAGCATTCAGTGCATTAAAATTGGAAACAATCCTAGAAGCACATACATACACATGACTGGGGGAAACACAGTAGACCTGAGGTGCAGCAAAATGAAAGGCACGCAATGGATCAGTACTGCAGAGAAGAAGGCCCAGGTAATCACCTATACCAAATTTGTTAATTAACTAATGAACCAAAAGAAATCAGAGCATATATACTAAGAACGGAAATAAAATTTATACTGATCATAACTGTGCTTCTATATGCACGCCATGGAAATTAGACAGCTGCTGTCACCTCTACGTCCCTCTATTGATCATTCAGAGAATTGCTCATCCACAAACAGTCTGTCCAGTAATTGAACCCATCTAACAGTTTGCTGAATTCGTCAATTTGAGGCCACTCCTGGGGCAATTTACCTTCAAGCGTTGTCAACCATTCTTTAACGTCTCCACGCACTGCTTCACCATCTAAAGGATATTCCCTGCCGCCCAAGAATATCAGAGAAGAAGGAACATCACTCATCAGTGGCACATATTCATGATCTGAAATATGAGTGGGAAAGGGCATCACATTTCCATTAATGTAGCTTATGCACCCCTGGTTGTGATTGCTAGTGTCGCTGTCCAAGCATATGGGATAAGAAGGAACATCACTCATCAATATCACACTATCCGGATCAGAGAAATCAGTCGGCTTCATATTGCCGTTAATGTTGGTTATGCACTCCTGATCATCATACCTAGTGTCAGTAATCATATTGCTTTCAATTCCAACAAAAGGCACAACAGCAGGGGCATTGGTGATCACATTTACATTAGAATGTTTTTGTGAACCCGGTTCTTTTCTTGCTCTCTTTCTCTTAATCAGCGGCTTCTCATTCGATACTTCTTTTCTTGCCCTCTTAATCGGTGGCTTCTCATTGAAGTCGTGAGTTGGACTTGAGGAATTCATCTTGCTTCCACACCTAGACCTCAGATTCCTTTTAAGTCGGGAAAGAACGACCTTTGGGCCAGCAACTACATTAGGAAGAAGACTGTACTCTTCTAACAGCCAGCCGCCATTGTTATTAGAACCCTTGTTGTTATACCTGAAATGCCCTTTATCCCCGATTGGAATTCCGTCCAAACCTAAAACTTTGTCGGAGGATATTTCGCTCCAAGTGCCTCCGGCTTCAATCTGGCGTTTGCTGCGGCTATCGCTGTCACTTCTAGAACGCAGCTCGTAGAAGAAGAACAATTCCTGATCGAGTAGGGAATTTCCGCCGAACTGCTCCCAAACCACCCACGGTGGTGTTTGTCCGAAGAGATTGAACTCTTGAATAAACGGCTTGCCCAAGGGCTTTCCGGAGAGGGCTCTATCGCGAAGATAGGAACTGACCAATTCTTGATCAGTAGGATGAAACCGAAAACCCAATGGCATACCGTAATAACCCACCTCCATTGCTAAACGCGATTTCAATTGAATGCAATTCAAAACAAAACAAATGCAGCAGCAAAAACCCTAATTTTTTCTTGGGCACAAAATAAAGAAGAGAAAATAAGCGAGAAATTAAAGAGCAGAAAAAGGGAAACCTGGAAGCCGATTTCGCTCGCTCGCCGAGGAGAGCAGCTCGTCGACGTCTCCCCAATCGCGGTCTTCGTCCCCAAACAAGAGCAACCGAAGAGGAATCGATTTCGAGTATTCGTAATTCAATTCAACCGGAGACTGTTGGAGCACTGAATTCTAATTCTGGTTCAAATTCGGACGCGCAGAGAGAGCGAGAGAGAAAGATCTTGAGAGAGAGAGAGAGAGAGAGAGTGAGTGGATTTGAAATTTAAATGGAAGAAAATATGACCGTTTGGTTTGGGAATTGGATGTTAACGTTGCGGACTTGCAAGGCTCACCGCTTAAGCGCGGGTTTTAATCACGTGGCATTTTCATATCTACCACACCCTGTATCCCCAAATTGTGAGCCAAATGACTAAAATAACGCAGGGAAAAAGAAAAAAAAATCGATTGGGCATATTCATTTAAAAAAATCGATTGAGCCAAATGACCAAATTCCGAACGCAATATTCCTCCCAAATGACTAAATTAATGAACCCAAACATTTAAGGGTGAAAGTTGGAATGAAAGTTGATTACGACACGAAAAAGATTTGTTTCATATTTGTATTCACATAGCGTTGCATGATTGACACGAGAAGCTATTGTCATAATGTTCCTATGTTCAAGCGACAATTATGATTTCCTATGATTAACACGATAAGCCATAATCACGATGTTCACATAACGTTGCATATTCATTTTTCATAGGAGTAACAAGATTTTCTCCCAGCTCTAATACACCTTTATGTTCTTCCTGTCCAAAACTACGTTGGAGAAGATTTCATAAGAAGCATGTCCGGAATCAATCATTAGCAGATTGATTATTCATGAAACGAAACGTAGATGTCGAAACAAATAGTGATAAACTAAGTACTACTGTTCGCCAACGTCTGAAAATTGAAACAAAAGTGTGCTGAAAGAAATGACAAGAACAAGAACAAAAGCAAATGCAATCAGAACTATTGGGAACTTCATGTACATTCATACGTATATTGTCTACACATTTCCTCAAGATTGACAAAAGTACGGAGTAAGACCACCAGCTAGACGAAATAACAGACTGAAAACTATTCTATCCACAGCAACTATCCACAACAATAACAACAACAAAGCCTTTTCCCACTAAGTAGGGTCGGCTATATGACTCCTAGAACATCATTGCGCTCGGTTCTATGTCACGTCTTCCGTGTAAATAAAAAGACTGAAAATTAATAAACTAACTACGATTAAACCGGAAGTCGGAAAGAAAAAGCTGAAAGGTAACCGTTCTCATCTGAATTCTTGAACTCTACTAGTAGTATAAAAACATGAGCTGACGCTAATAGCTTCACAACTTGATTCAGGCAAGGCGTGTATACTCCGTGTAAAGTCCTCTTCCTCCTGCCCCGCTTCTAGATGATGATGATGGTGAGCAAGCAAATCAAGAGAAAATGGAGAACCGAGGCCCGTGGCCTTCCTATGTTTCCAGCCACAACTGGCAAAATAATGATTTGAAAAGGAGGGAACGGGATGATGGTGATGAGCAGAGTAGTGTGATCAGGCTCAGTAGCTTCATGTACATGATCTTGATTGGGTTCTTCATCATCCTCTCCTCCAATATGATTAAAGAATTCAGTGATCAAGTCCTCCTCATCATCCAACTCTCTTTCATCCACGGTTCTTGGCCCCTCCTCAATCTCGTGATGATGATGACCGAGATGAGTAGTCAGCCGAGGCACAACGGCAGCCTCGTCTGCAGCAGAGGCCGCAACAGCAGAATCAGGCAGAAGCTCAAACTCGTCAATTAAGGATCTTAACAGATCATCATCCAAGCAATCATTTGCTTCGGTGGTGCTGCTTGAGGACCCCTCGTGATGAAGTAGATCATCAAGCTCCCTAATTGAGTCCTCCATTACCAAAAGATCATCATCCGAATCATGAGTCCTCTGCCTCTTGACCGTATCACCCAAAACCGTAACGGCATCATCGGAATCGGAATCAGGGAAACGCGGACGCTTGAGAGAAGAGACAGTGGGCCTCAAATCTTGACCCCTCATCTCCAATTTTCCAATTTCTTCACGAAACACAAGACAAACAGACGAAAGCGGTGTGCTTTCTGCGAAAACCAAAAACCTAAGTGGGTAATGTGGAAGAAGAAAAAGCAACACTTTCCAAACACAAGGGCTAATAAAGAAGATCAGCGAAGAGTGCGACTGAATTGATTATACGGGATTTGGGGATTAGGGTTTCTTGTTACAGTGCTAGACAGATAGAAATTAACGATACCGAGAAATAAAACAGAAGAAAAGGCAAGAACTGAACCTGGAACTGGGAACAAGTCGTCGACTTTCTGCTCAGAGAAGAGGATGTATTCGTCCCCAAATTTGAATCGAGCTTCCAATTTCTGCTCAGAGAGAGATCAAGCGAGAAAGAGAGAGAGAGAGAGAGAGAGAGGGAGAGAGAGAACAAAAAATTTGAATTGGGCTTCGAATGCGGACGCACACAGAGAGACCGCAACAACGCAACACGATCGTTTGAGCGAGAGAGAGAGAGAGAGCGATCCAGAGATCCAGTGAGGGAGTGGGATGGGGGATTTGAAATTTAAAGAAGGGAAAATATGACCGTTTGGGAATAGGACCGCTAAAACGCGGGCTTCATCACGTGCCGTTTTCCCTCTGCTCCTTGGCGCCTGCGAGTGGGAACCCTTCCCCAAAGGGCCCAACCCAACCACATTGTGTACCAAATGACTAAATTACCCTCGAATTTCAAATCATGCAGAACGCAGAGCTCGGGGTATTTTAGTCAAACCAAAAACTCAAAAGCTCAAAGGATCGCAGAATCGTCTCACTGTCTAGTTTACGAGTTGTTTGTTTGATCCAGATGTATCTGAGAAGTGTGGCGTTTGGGAGTACGCGATGCGAGTAAGGTGCTCGATAAGATTTTGAAGTAGATAGAAGTAGTCGCTGAATTTGTCCACCATTAATTATTTTAAATTGTTCAGTAAAAAGTTCTAGGGGCTTTTCGATCTAAGTCCAAAAACATAGGTAGTTTTTTAACTAAGTCCAGTTATCCAATTACATATTTTTATACCAATTTTGTCCTTTTAGATAAAAATATTTAAATTCTTTACTTTTTGTATCATTTATTCAGTTTTTAATTTTGAATATTTAAATACTAACTAAAATATTATCTAGTAACCACCTAATGATGTTTACCTACAAAACCGATATAATTTAGTAACTACCTATTGTATAGGAAGAAAAATACTTTATACCAACAAAACATATGTAATCTACTGCAAAACAAAAATAAACTACCTATTGTATAGGAAGAAAAATGCTTTATACCTACAAAATAGATATAATCTACCAACAAAATAAAAATAAACTACCTATTGTATAGGAAGAAAAATGTTGAACCTCCATGGCAGAACATTAGAATAGAAATATGATATAATATACCTCCATTAAAGGAACAAATACTAAACAAAAAAAAGGAACAAATACTAAGTTTTAGTTTACCTTTATGATACGCACAAAAATATAATAGAGCAAATATAAATGCATGATACTGTATTATTGCTGGCAATTGATACTGTATTGCCGAACGAATATGTAAAAAAATTGTGAATGCTATGTAAAAACTGAAATTGTCATGAAGGAATTTGGAGGGAGGAACACAAAATATCACCCATGAAAGATGAGAGAAGAGGATGATTGATTCCACGATCTAACAAAGGGAATTGTTTAGAAGAAGGAAAAAAAAAAGAGGGATAAAACAGACTGGGGGTTGAGATTTTATTGCTATAACTAATCCTACAATTAAGGGATTAGTTAAACCACAAATAATCATATAATTAAGAAATTTTGAATATTTACTACAATTTATAAGTCTAAGGGATAAATATGGTACAAATTATAAATAAGCTTACGTGGAATATCAATTATTGGACCTATTTCAATGCAATGGACTAATTATAGTAATGGCTCACAAAATTGGATCTCTATCAAATTATCCAAAAATTCTATTAAATATAGATAAATTGACGAAAATACTCTCAATTTAATAAACAATGAGCCAAAATGATTTGATAAAAATTAAAGATATTTTTATCATTTTATACTTATCTGATGAAAATTATATACAAAATGACCAAAATGATTGATAGCAGACAAATTCAGAGACTACTTCTATGAAACTCAAATCTTAATGATCGAAGTGATGGGTTATGTTAATCTGAATAACCATTGTGCCTATAAAACTTTAATAGACCACTGAAACCAAAATTGTCCGATTCATCCTTATTATTTCCACACACATCCCATCAAATTTCCTCAAGCATTAATATACTTTTTGGCCATGATTTTCTAATAATTTAGACAACATTTTCCAAACACCGATTGTACACATGTTTAATGACTTTGAAACAAAAAATGGCCACATTTTAATTAGCAAAATATATTTCAAGTAAAAATAGGATAGAATAGGGCACCGTTCGAATCCGAAATTAGAAGAACCAACATTCTTGATCATACACTCGTTGAGTGCAAACTGCAAAAACCAAAACCAAACAATGACGCGAGAAGCATCAGATATGCGATGTTTTTTCCCGCTACTCATTACTTGCTTTTAACTATTACAATGAATGCAATTCCGAATAATTTCACAGCATACGGATTCAGAAAACGAGTCCAAACACAAACGTTACTGAAACTGATACGAAAATAAATACAGCATATCGGCATTCACAGTAGACAACTGCAATATACTTAAATTAGGTCGTGGAACCCCTAGTTTATAAGCACGTCGATGTTATGTACAGAATAATCACATTATGTTTCCACCAACACACACAAATACCAACAGGCCAACCTTTTTTCACCCTAAACGGCATCTGCATTTTTTTCCATTTCAGACTATCATAGTTTTCGTACCAAGAATCCATCGTCTATTGTACACTTGTTCTTAGCTTGCGTTAACTTCTTTTCTCCAACAGACTTGGGAACACAGGAAGCTAGAATACTCACCAACGGTGATGGCACATGTGGCAGGCGTGGAATTGTTGTACGATACTGATCACTGGTCCAAATATCCGTGCTATACATTTCTGCTGGACCCACCACCTCGACCGGTTACCTTTCCCCTTCCACCTTTTGCTTTGCTGCTTCCTACGTTTTTTGAGCTTGTTGACCCACCGCAAACTGCTTGAGAGTCCACATCACATAGGCCTTTCTCTAATGCCATTACCAGGTTCTGGAAGTAATTTTTAGTCACCCTGTCACAATTGGGAAATGGATGAGAAGATTGAATCAGGCAAGGGAGTGAATCAATTTGTAGTCACAGATAACTGACCGTGCAACACAATAACATACCCCTAATTTAAAAAATAAAAATAAAAAAATCCGCAAGTAAATTACATGAAAAATGAAAGGATATTGTCTTCCTTCCAGTTCCTATCCTAAAGACTCACTCATTCGCACACTCAGAAAAGCCGGTTCTTGCACACTTTTATCTCTTCACTTCGCACACTCAGAAAAGGATTGTCTTCCTTCCAGTTCCTATACTAAAGACTCACTGATTCGACCTTTTCATTTGCTGCATTTTGCATCCAGACAATGTTGAACAGACAACTATACACTAGGAAATTCAGTGCGGTTAACCAGATCAGAGATTTCCTCTTTATTTACACATAACTCCATTTGTTTTTTTGGACAAGACACATTTCAACACTAAACATTCCATGGAAATTGAATTTCAACTAATATTTCATCACAATATTTACCCGGTAAGTCCAGCTAGCTTTGTATGGAAATCAACGAATTCTTTCGATGGGCCTTCTGCACTAAGGAATTGCAGTAGCTCCTTCTCTGCACACTGATGAAGCCTTTCCAAAGCAGACTCTGCCTCACCTGAAGACAAAAGCAGAATTGAATATTTCAGAAAACTTATAAAACAACTCCTAACTAGTTCCTGCAGATATACACAGTTAATACCTTGCAAGTACTCAAAAAACTGCCTCTTCGCTTGCTCACGCTCTGGCAGGTAGTACCCATAAGCATATGTCCATTTTAGAACTCTCCTACATTCAACAATCTACAAACACAAAGAAAAAAAGGCAAAAATAATGTCAGCATTTCATCACCAAACAAATCTGATTTCATGTTATACGTACACTGTGCACTAAACTAATTCATTTTATATCTAACAAGAAACGCAGGAATTCACCTGCTGCCAGGCATCGGTTATGAACTTGAGCTGAGACTCAGGCTCGCGCTGTATGTCACTAAGTTTCTCCATCTGAGAGAGAGAAAAACAACGTATTCATCAGTTATTACATAGTAACTTCATAGAAATCCCAAATAGCCGACAAGAGTCCGGTTGAAACAATCATACCCAACATCCTCTAGCAATCGATGATTTTTTTCAGTAAGAAACATAAACTACCCTTTTTTAACTGAAGAAACCCAATCAAGATAAAATACACTGAATCTCTTGAATGCTTTAACAGAGATTTTAAAAGGAAACAAAAGATTTAATACTATCTCTAAGTATATCCACTTCCTTGCCTTCTGTCAAAAAAAGAATAACCCGCCATTTCCTTCCTACCACACATTCCATAAAGGAGCCAATATTGCATGCTACTAAACATGAATCTCTGATTTAATGACCGAGATAGTTGAAGAGCCACCGACTGTCTCACAAGTCATTGTTGAATAAGAAGAGTATCCAAGATAACTCTAATGATCCCAAGAAGAAGAAAATAGAACACACTCTTAAAGAAAGCTCACAAAACAAACTAATTAGCAAAGCTTTTCTTAATTAGCTCTAGGCTTTGTATTTCCTTGGATGATTTACAATGCTTGAGGACTTGGGTATTTATAGCAAACCAAATGAATAAACTAAGATTATTTATTACCACACAAAACACATTAATTGCACCTAATTTATTTTTATTCAACCATGCCTAACATTGCCTAATTTTCCATACCTAACTTTGACATTGATTTTCAACACTCCCCCTCAATGTCAGCTCTCATTCTTTGCACTGTGCTGAGCAGACAGCGAAAATTTTCGAGCTTGCCTGTACTTAAACTTTTTGTGAACAAGTCCGCAACTTGATCATTCGTCTTGACTTGTCTCATCTCAATCTCTTCTTGTAGAACCTTTTCTCTGATAAAGTGGTAGTGCACTTCCACATGTTTAGTTCTTGCATGAAAGACTGGATTTTCCGCCAAGCGAATGGCCGATTGGTTATCACAGTACAATGGTACTGGATAATCTACTGG